CGAAAGTAACCCGTTTTCGTAATATTGACTGATAATAACGTAAACTTTTTCCAAGTTTAACTCTCTATTCGTGAAATCAGTCGAGCGTGCAAATCGCCCGTGAAAATATTAACGAACCCCCCCCGCATTAGAAGTTGAAAAAAAAAAAAAAAAAAAAAAAATAACTTTCGCTGATACGAGATTAATTGTGCCGAGCGTAGCGATATTGGAAAATTTTAAATAACAAGAGAAATTCCGTCGAGTAAGATTAGACACACGGCTCCGAAGTCAATAGATCAGATTGCAGACGTTCTACTTTGAAACGATTGTATTGCCGATAAGGAGAACGTGTCTGATCATTGTTCGTTACAACTCGTGTCCTATGGGGAATCAAATTCTCGTAGCGTCCCATCAGCCAATCTTGACACAATCGATGTTGAGTGTCCGTGCCATTCTTCGATATCCACGATGCGTGCCAATGGTGGAATTTCGTGTCCATACGCTTCGTTACAGCTGGATGAGACTGTCGAGAAAAAAATGTTATAAATAAATTTTTTTACATATCCAAGACATGTGAACATATTAAAAATAAATCATCGCATCGCGTTATATATAAATATTATATATTATATACAGGGTGTCCGGTAAAGATTGTGCCAACGCTCGTGTGCGGCGGCGCACACTTCACAGCGCGGGGCTCACTGACGTGCGCCCGGCTAAAAGTCGGCGCTGATTGATCAGATTTTACTCAATAATAACTCCTTTATTAAGCGTTATATAAAAAAATGTTACAGGACTTTTCTGTTCAGTTTACTGTGCTCTAGCCGCTCACGAGCGTTGGCACAATCTTTACCGGACACCCTGTATAACACTAATATGTAATATATACTTTTGAAAGAGAGATGCAAAAGTATTCCAATAATTGCAAACGTACCATCCTAGCGCGGTTGATAGACTTCTGTTTGTAAAGAAACCTGTCCTTATGAACAATGAAAAGCATGGTATAGCTGTTTGGATTAAATCTACATTGCGTCTCGTCGGAATTGATAATGTCGGGAGCGTCGACCGAGCTGTAACAAATTTAGATCAAATATAGAATAAAATCCAGTTAATATTTAGGCTAATCCATGCGTTAGGTATACTTACTCTGTGACTCTCTCCGGATGATTGGTATTAAGCAAAGATTGTTTCTCCTTTGCTAATCTCGCAGCGTGTTTTCGATAAGACTTAATATTGCGATAGAGAAAGATGGGCTTCCGTCCCGCCGAAGCTCTGCCTAAGGAACTCCAACTATTTCCGTCCATCTACAACAAATCGTGAGATACGGCGTTATTTTTAAATAATACTTTGAGCTAAAATTAAATAAATAAAATAAGATATAAAATATATCTTTTTGGATATTATACATCGCGATTAAAAAAAAGCTTATTGTTAGAATAATATACATATAAGCAAAATACAAAATTTTCATATAATAAAAAAAATTTATGTATTCTTAAAATAGTAAAGTTTAAATGTTTAAGTGTTGATCGCTTATTATTATTTTATCCATATATTTTGCAAAGTGTATCAATAAACAAAAGATAAATGATATAATATCTAATAATCACCAATAAAAGAATCATCTCTCCGTAAAACAGCTGTGAATGAATGAGAGAGTGAGAAAAAACAAAAGAAATTATTATTATTCTAGCTTGAAATATATATATATATATAATTGAGGAATACAGAAGGTATATTTCTTGAATCCCATTATATTAAAACTGACAACAAATTTTTATAGAGAACTGAGAGAAGTTGTTTTTCACACAGTTATAAAAACGAGTTTATGGAAATATATAAAAGTATAGAATAAAAAAATTTGTAATGGAAATAAAATTGTATTGCAAAGTAATTTTTACTTACGAACGTGCATAATTGATTGATATATTCATTTATGAATGGTAAAAAATTAATTTTTTTTTTTTTTATTTATCGCTCTACAATTACTTTAATGAAATTTTAATTTGCAGTTTAATTATATTTTGATAGAGAAGAGAAAAATCGATACACAAAAAATATATAAATATAAAAGCGAATTTCGTACACGATAGTTTGCGCGATTATAAAACTTTTACGACGTATCCTATAATTTTATCGTGCGAGACGTAACGCTTTTATTTACAAAATTTTTCTCTCGATCCGTATTTATACCCCCTTTCTACATTATATTGTTGCAAATTGTACAAACTATAATAAAGATACATAAAAAATATATAATATATAAAAACTCATAAGAGAGAGACAGAGTGCCGCGGCAATTTTCTTATCTCTCATTCGCACATTCTTGTCATACACCCACGTTTGTGGTCAGAGTATTGATAACGGATATCGATCGAGTGCCCGTCCGGGGACCTGGGGGGGGGGGGGGAGAAAGGGGGGAAGCGCGTATCAAACTCGATTATGCGGGGGTGCAGGAGCGATGGACGAGTCGAAATTGTTGCGCATACGCCACTGGAATAAAGTGGGAGAGTACATACATCGGCGCGGGCAGGTTGCTCGAGCAACGAAGCAGCGCCGCCGCCACCGCGGCCGCCGCCTTTCTCCTCCGCGTACGCCCGCTATGTATTCCCGACCACGTTAAGGCTTGGACGAACGCCATTTTGTACGACGGATTTATTTATCGCGCGGGTGACGTGTGAGAGAGAGAAAGAGAAAAACAGATAAGAGATTCTGTTTCTCGCAATCGACGAGATAAGTTCCCGCACTATATTGTGTTCGGTGCGCTCGTATCTCGTACAATTTAATAATAGATAACGACAGAACGAACGGGTTAACGATCGACATGAACGCTCTGTCCGAAAAAAAAAAAAAAGAATAAAGGAAAGATGAGGGAGAACGGAAAGAGAGCTTGCGAGATGTGTGTTTACGGAGAAAGAAAGGTGTAAGCTTGACGTGAGACCGCATGTGTCAAGATCTCTTTAACATCCTCGCGTGTCTCCGATTTTTTTTTTTTTTTCTTAACGCGTAAGTACATATGCACGATGTTGTTCGTCTCGAGCGATTGCACTATGTATTTTGTTTAAAGGACGATTTTGAGTTTTTCTAGTCGTTACCGGCGATATCTTGAAATTCAAAAGCACATCGGAGTAATGTAAGCGACGATGTGTGTGTGCGCGTTTTCGACGAGTGCTACGAAAATAGAATGCAAGTAGAGTGCGAAGAAATGAAACATTCGCGAAAATATTCGTAAAAGCTTGTATGATTGAAATGGAGCATTAATTGTTAACGGAGATGAATTCTATTATACGAATATCGTGCATGCATAAAAAGTTTCTCGATAATCATTGATAGAAATATATGTATATAAATAGCGTTCGGTATAAATTTAAATATCTTATAGTTATTTCAAAAAAAAAAATATGTAATGCATACAATTTTCTATCATCTCGTCTTCTTGCCAGATAATTTTGTATATTGTGGAAATGAAAATGTTGAGTCTGGATCATAACAGAATTTTAGATTGAAATTTTTTTGTATATTGTTTTTATACGAAAATTTATATTAAGTAAATATTATTAATTCGTAACTTAAAATCCAGGATGATAAATCTTATATAATCCACAATATTTGTGAACAGATTTTATAAAATATTCAAAGAGATTGCAAATAAGAGAGAAAGGGAGAGAGCTTTTAATACATACTAAAAAAAAAAAAATGTGACATAATCATATTGAAACCTATCCACATGTGATGAATGTATATAATGATCTTAATTAGAAAATATATTACAAGTGCCAAAGTGCTAAAGTAAATTGTTTTATATTTTTGACTCGTATAATTATGTACAGTAAATATTAAAATCTCTGTACTATGTTGTTGAATTTATAAAAATAATATATTATATAAATAAACTGTATGTTATTAAAACATTTTAATGTATATAATCTAGTTGAAAAATATATGCTTATAATTTGTGCAGAGTATGAGATCATTATTAGCAAAGAACAAGTCAAAGATATGTTATATGCTGTCACTAATATAATCGTATTGTACAAATCCTTCTGAGGAAAGATATAATACGAAATAAAAGCGGTTGTGTGTGGTATTAGAAAAGAAGAAAGATCAATCTGAAAAATAGCCTTTGTTAGTCTAGAAACCGGTATTAAGAAACGCGAGCGATAAATTATTCTGCGAATCCAGCTCAAGAGTTAAAATAAAAAAAAAAAAAGAACCTAAGAATGTGAAACCTTTGGTAAAATGACAAAAATACTGCGGGATATTAATATTTTATACTGTCGCGTTTATCAAACATTCTTACAGAATTGATGCAAAATTACAACTGACTTTCTATATACATCATATAATGGTACAATGCGTATAGTATCTCTGCTTTACTATCTATATATCATTTATGTACATAGTAAAGTATATTATGTATATATACATGTGTGTCTTGATGAAGGACGCAACAGTTAAGCTAAAAAAACACACTCAGCTCCACGCCACAGTACAGTCTTGTCGTACCTCTCGTAGACTCGTTAGGTAAAACCAATGCGAGTGCTTATTTCATACAAGGGCATAGTGCATCGTACTACAGCTGATCCTGTAACATACTTTGGAATCTTGAAATGTGTAGCATGACGCGCTGTGTGCCCTCGTATGGAGCAAACGCGCATAGATCCTTTCAATGTGTCATGTGAGATTTCCTTCTATATAGAAAACACTTTTAAACTATTTGAAGACCAGTTTAAAGAGCCTAAAAAAGGTATACAATGTGATGTCCGATGTTTCTCTGACAATTACCCTAATTTTTGTACAAGAGATTACACAAGAAAATTTTATGCGCATCGCTCTCGCGTTTCTACGCCGTAAATGTCTAATCGCCCATCTTCCAGAATTTGATAAAAAAAAAAAAAAAAAAAAGAAGAGATCAATTAAAACTTTCACATCTGTTTTCTTAGATAGTCCAAGTAAAAAAAACGATACAAAGCGTAATTATTAGTATTATTATAATGTCTAATAATGGCGTGGAAGTAATGTGTTCAGGTAAGTCAATGAATGATATATTTATGTATATATTCATGTTTCCTTTCCAAAGGCTTCACTATGTACTGCATTTCTGAATGCGATAGTAAGAGTTAATTATGAAATTTCGCGATTCACTATCGGCCAATCTTAAATTGTGTGTGTATCAAAATGTATGTACAAATTTGTTAGATATATTTACATTTTTTAAAATCTATTAATTTATATAGAGAATCTAATATTATATAT